AGACCACAATATAGAAATATGTACACATATGCAGTTGTGACTGACGTGTCTTTATTCTGAATTTATACAAACACTTTCATTTTACAGTAAATTAGTTTTGGCTAGTTTATGTTTATGAACAGAGACCTACAGATGCAGTTTAGTAAAGGAAACTCATTTGTGAATCTGGGTTTAAAGTTTTTATTAAACTTAAACTTGCAAATAAATCTTAAACTGAAACTTTGCTTGTTTGTAAAAGTGATTTCAGAGCCACTCAGTTCTACCTGATGGAAACTGTTTGCCTTCAGTGTTTTGTGCTTATGATAATTTTAATAGACATCAGCGTCACTAATTAATGACATTCTATTAAAAGACTGGTTTACCAAGAGAGACACTGGAGTATTTTCACCTAAAATGAGTTAATGAAGCGAGTCTTGTTACAAAAATGATAATAGTACATCAAAGTCATAATTAATCTTTTAGTACTTTTACTTTAGATACTTAAGTACATTTGAAGGCAAATACTTCTGTACTTTTACTCAAGTGGAGGTCTAAAGGGAGGAGCTTCTACTTTTACTGCAGTAATATTTTACCTTGGGTGTCTCTACTTTAAGTCAAGGTACATGGTTTGTGTACTTCGTCCACCACTGAATTATAGCCCCCAAATGTTCAGCGAAACAGCAGCTCTGGACTCTGAGAGTGAAAACGGAAGGTGAATTTCACATTGGTGTTTCCTGGTGTTCAGTCATTAAGCGGAGTGGAGCTGTCAGTCATTCCACTCTCAAATGTCATCTCATTAATGCTCTGTCGGTTTGGGGAAAAGAGAAATGACCGCTATTAAAAACACATCACAAACAATCAGGAGGGGCCGATACAGTCTGACACCGTTAATCACCGCAGGACGGGTCACACAGCGACGGGTCGAGAGCGGCGCTCGTATTTTATGAGGCGTCTCCTCCGGCCTGTTTACGTCTCGCCAGTTCGTCTTTGCTATCGACAGCGATCGTCACTGATCTGTAGGCTGAGTCGTGTCTGTAGAGCTGAGAGCAGCGCAGGGTCGAATTTACCTACAGAGAAACTCACAAAGTCACGCAGTCTGAAAATGACTGTAATCTACTGTAATCCACTGTAATCCACTGTCTCTCCATCAGCGGAGATGGAAAAGTTTTTTAGTTTCCTGGACAGGGCGCTCAGAGGGCTGGTTGCTCTGTTCGAGCTCCTGGACTGGGCGCTCAGAGGGCCGGTTGCTCTGTTCGAGCTCCTGGACAGGGCGCTCAGAGGGCCGGTTGCTCTGTTTAAGCTCCTGGACAGGGCGCTCAGAGGGCCGGTTGCTCTGTTCGAGCTCCTGGACAGGGCGCTCAGAGGGCCGGTTGCTCTGTTCGAGCTCCTGGACTGGGCGCTCAGAGGGCCGGTTCCTCTGTTCGAGCTCCTGGACAGGGCGCTCAGAGGGCCGGTTGCTCTGTTCGAGCTCCTGGACTGGGCGCTCAGAGGGCCGGTTGCTCTGTTCGAGCTCCTGGACTGGGCGCTCAGAGGGCCGGTTGCTCTGTTCGAGCTCCTGGACAGGGCGCTCAGAGGGCTGGTTGCTCTGTTCGAGCTCCTGGACAGGGCGCTCAGAGGGCTGGTTGCTCTGTTCGAGCTCCTGGACAGGGCGCTCAGAGGGCCGGTTGCTCTGTTCGAGCTCCTGGACAGGGCGCTCAGAGGGCCGGTTGCTCTGTTCGAGCTCCTGGACAGGGCGCTCAGAGGGCGGTTTGCTCTGTTCGAGCTCCTGGACAGGGCGCTCAGAGGGCCGGTTCCTCTGTTCGAGCTCCTGGACAGGGCGCTCAGAGGGCCGGTTCCTCTGTTCGAGCTCCTGGACAGGGCGCTCAGAGGGCCGGTTCCTCTGTTCGAGCTCCTGGACAGGGCGCTCAGAGGGCCGGTTCCTCTGTTCGAGCTCCTGGACAGGGCGCTCAGAGGGCCGGTTCCTCTGTTCGAGCTCCTGGACAGGGCGCTCAGAGGGCCGGTTCCTCTGTTCGAGCTCCTGGACAGGGCGCTCAGAGGGCCGGTTCCTCTGTTCGAGCTCCTGGACAGGGCGCTCAGAGGGCCGGTTCCTCTGTTCGAGCTCCTGGACAGGGCGCTCAGAGGGCCGGTTCCTCTGTTCGAGCTCCTGGACAGGGCGCTCAGAGGGCCGGTTCCTCTGTTCGAGCTCCTGGACAGGGCGCTCAGAGGGCCGGTTCCTCTGTTCGAGCTCCTGGACAGGGCGCTCAGAGGGCCGGTTCCTCTGTTCGAGCTCCTGGACAGGGCGCTCAGAGGGCCGGTTCCTCTGTTCGAGCTCCTGGACAGGGCGCTCAGAGGGCTGGTTCCTCTGTTCGAGCTCCTGGACAGGGCGCTCAGAGGGCTGGTTCCTCTGTTCGAGCTCCTGGACAGGGCACTCAGAGAGCTGGGGTTTCTGTTCACCTGGACTCTGTTTATCTTTGGCTGTAAATACTCTAAAGCTCAGCGTTATAAATGTACCTTGGCTAATTTTTTAGTGGGACAAGCTGAG